CCAATAGTGTATATATGGTTACTAGCATCAATATGTTGATGGTCGTCCTTCGGCCCCTTCCATGATTGCTGCAAGCAAAAATTTGAAGCAGTTGATAATGCAGACATCCCATCCAATAAGTTTCATGTGCAAGTCATAGTCATTTTTATCTATTCCTGGACTTAATTTTGCTCCGAGCATGACTAGTCAACTACAATTTTTCAATATTCTTCGGGTAAAAACTCCCATCTGCTGCCGCTTGATCCTGACTACACCTCAGAAGTCACGACGACTCTTTTCATTAACTTAAATCTGAACAAAAATAAAAGAAATCTCTGAACGAATTGTACTGGAATATGGAAAAAAAATAAATAAGCAAGATAAACTCTATAGTATCCTGAGCAACGTCATAAATTTTTCCCATGAAGCTACAAAATGAATTTATTGGCAGACAAAGAGGGAGACGATGCATTAATGGTCATCTGAAAATGTAAGTATTATTTAAAGTATGTTTGGTCTGATTTTTTTTTAACTTGAAAATTATTATAAAATTTGTATAATATATAATAATTTTTAAAATTAAGTTAAAATTATTTGATAAATTTATTTTTTATAAATTCTTTTTTATAGATAAGTTGATTGATAAAACAGATTATATAAATTTTAATTTTGATTAAAATTACTATTAAGTGTATTTAATAAATAAAAAAAATTGAATCAAATAAAAAAAGATTAGTGCAAAAAATATAATTTTTCCTATAATATTATGAATTGTTGAAAGATAAAAGAAGAATATAAAAAATATTTACTATTTTTTAAAGATTGGTTTGAAATTTATGATTTGTGAAGCTGAACAAAATTGATATTACATGCAAGGAAGAGAGCTCAAGGTGATATTAATAATAGATCCAATTAAGTCCGAAAAATTTTAACCGTTGATTTGATAACCCATTTTCTTATTGAAATCCTCAACGCTAATTCCATTTAAGTTTATCAAGGCCTTAATGTAATCCTCTCCATGAACAAAAAGATTTTGGTTTTATATTTTTTTCTCAATTTTTAATGGGTTATTTATTTTATCAAGGAATGCCACATGATTTGTTTAGTATTGTTAGCTCAAATGTGAAATTCATTGTAAAGAAGTTTAGGAATTCTGTAATTCTTATTATTAAAGGAATTAAAGTTTATTTTAATTTTCTTTTAATGCAACGTATTGTTATATTTAAAAACAATTATTTAAAATTGAGTTAACACAAATAAGTACAAATATTGACTTTTAAATTTTTGTTTAATTTATCTTAACAACTATTAACCTATTTGATTAATTATTTCAATCATAATCAACAAATATTATACACACTAGAAAGAAATTAAGAAAAAAATAAATATCACATAATTATCCTATCAAATAATAAACTAAGAAATATCAAATAATAAAAAGAGTTTTTAAGATAAATAAAAAGATAAAATATAAAAAATAAAATAAAAAAAATAAAAACAAAACGAAGAAATAATATCTTAATGTAATTTTGAATTTTAAATCTTCTTTTTCTTTAATTTTTGTAAAAACAAAAAAAAAACTTTATAAGAATGATTTGCAGAAAGGGGGAGAAAAGGGAGATCAATAGTGAGAAAGGGAAGAGGTATTTTTTTAGAAAAAATATTTTTAGAAAAAAAATAGTTTTTTTTAAAAAACTGACATATTTTTTTAAAAAAAGTTAAAACTCTTATTTGGAGTTTTTTTAAATTTTTTTCTTTTAAAAAAGTTTTTTTTAAAAATTTCTTACAAAATTCTATTCAATCTCTAAAAAATGAATAAACTAAAAAAAAATTAAGTCAAACAGATATTTAATCAAATACGAAACACTGGAGCTATAAATGGCAACCTCGAAGTGAACTATATAATATAACATATATGGTACGAATATAATGTCTATGATTGGAAGATTGTTTGGTAGACGTCATGGGAACGACTACATCAAACAACTTTCGGAGGTAAATTTAGGGCCAAAAACATGTTGTTTTATTTATTAGTCACAATATTGTTGAGGATTATACCGGCATATGTTAGAGAAGAATAATGAGCTTGAGTACACTTCTTGGAAATCCTTTTTTATCACTAAAATTCTGATTAAGTTGACTGTAAATAAATAATTAGGCACTTTATTATCTTCCTTTTTTCCTTTTTTTTTTATGGCTACGTTCGTGTATGTCTGAAAAAATATATCTGGAATTGATAAAGCAAATATTAAGAGAAACCCCAAATTGAGTTTTTATTATTATTATTTTTTTTTGTGAAACTGTGTAATAGTTTATGATCTATTTCTTGCCCTTGAAGAGTGGATAAATTTTCTGGTTCTCCTTGTGCTCAGCTCCACAACGCATCCATGCGACGATGCCTTAGGGATTCAGCATTTTCTAATTAAATTTATAATCAAATTAAGGTCCTCAATCCCCATTGCTTATTTCAGAGTTTGATAATTGTGGCCTTAGCTTACAATTACTATTTTAATGTCACATATTCTAAGGTAACCAATATATATATTGCATCTGGTGGTAGAGATGTAGCAATCAGTTTAGGTAAACAAAGTGCTTAAGTAATCTGAAAAGCCCGATTCATTAACCGGGTTAAAGCTGCATTGACTGTTCAGATTTTCGGATGTAAAATTTTAATTTTAACAATTAATTCAACTTCCATCATTAATTAATCATTAAATTATTTATCTTAATAAGCTTTGGCCTCTATGTGAAGCAATAAATTGGGCCTTAATTACACTTAAGTTGACTTAGCTCTGCCCTTTATTTAATTTATCTAGGTCCCAATGCTCGTTCTGCAGACAAATCCGCAAAGCTTGAAGAAGTAATACTAATTACTAATTGTAGTGGTTTCAACAAATGGAATATTAGATTGTATTTTGTACGTAGAAGCGTTTTCCATGGACAGATAAGATAATTGATTAGATACAGTACTACTACATATTGGATATATTCCCTGATAAAAAAAATGCATGAAGGCCTGGAATAAGATACCATGTCTTTGTGTCAACCAATTCAAACTATGGACGTGGCAACCACTCCAATTCCTTCCTTCGGAACTACAAAATAATCCAATCACATATATGGATCTATGATCCTTGTCACACAAACAAGAGAGTTTTTTCAGATTCCATTTTTTTTTTCTGCTACTGTGCAAAATGGGTTGGAAGAATTTGTATCAGAGAGCTAGGAAGCTCCTGACCTCTCCCATCCTGCAAGACTCTTTTCACCTCCTTACAATCACCCTCCTCAGCCTCTTGCTTCCCCTTTCGTTTCTCCTGGTTGCCAGGCTCTCTTGCGTCAACTACATCTTAACCATCACTTCAAATCCTTCACAGCCTTCCCCATCTTTTCTCTTGTCTTTCTATTTCTACACCAATCCAGCTGTTCTTTATATTCTAGTATCTGCTGTTAGCATTGCCACTCTTGTCCATGGATTGACAGGGAAAATCGCATTTGTAAATGAGTCCCCAGATGTGGTTTACCGGCCCCGTTTGTACATTGCGTGGATAGTTTTATATATATTGCAAGTTTCTGTTGGATTGGGGATTGAAGGAAGCATAGTATCAGGAATTGATGGTGCTGGTTTTGGAGCTGAGAGGAGTCTGTTAGGTCGAGTAATATTCTTCTTGGGTTTGCATGAGATTATGCTTCTTTGGTTTAGAACAGTTGTGAAACCCGTGGTAGATGACACTATTTTTGGCGCTGTTAGAGAAGAAAGGTGGATTCATAGGGCCGCCATGGCCCTGAGCATTGGCACCTTCTGGTGGTGGAAGCTGAGAGATGAAGTTGAGTCGTTGGTGGTTGTGGCAGAAGCTAAGAAGGAGCTGTCAATGGACATTGAGATAGCTGACTTTCTTAGTTGGTGGTTGTATTACTTGACTGTGACGATTGGAATGGTTAGAGTTGTTAAAGCTCTTATCTGGCTTGGAATTGTCTTGCTTTGTAGGAGGGTAAGAAGGAACAATGATGAAACTAGCGAGGACGATCAAGACAAGGTCTGAACTTGACCCTTTCTTAATTCTTTCTTTTTTTTTTTCTTCCCCACCAAATATTCTTGTTTATGGTGATTGAGTCAATCACGATCTCGTAATTCTTAATTGCAACTTGTACACTTGTCACACAAAATATATAGGAATTTTTTTTCAAGAAAAGTTGTTCAAGTATTTTATTATGTAATATATTATTGATGTCGCTGCCTCTTCATTGAAACCAAATGATAATCAAATTATTAGCAAATAAAAAACCCATTTCTTCTTTGGAACCGGGCGAAATCAATTAAAAAGAAAAAAAAACAAATCATAATCAACAGTAATTATGACGTGAATGTGCTAAACAGAGGAAACTTTAGTTCAACATTAAATTGATATGAGGGCTCAATGGACAGTCCGATATGAACAAGAAATGTTGAAATTAAAAATAAACAGTTTAAAATTACCTAAATGCACTAAACTAGTTTCTCAAAAACAATGCACTAAACTAGTTATAAACTATATATTAACACTGATTCATACTAGTCTTAGTCTTTTGAGTAGAATTAATTTACAAGGAACTTGAAAAAGAGAGTAAAAAAGAAGGAAGGTGGGGGAGACGAGAAATTGGGAACAATCAAAGAGGAAAACAGGTCTACAGTGTACCCATTAAACAGTGTGATTGAGTAAAGGCAACAGGCCACTTTATTGATGGTATAGCAAGCGATATTCCCAATTTCTATTCCCACATAATTTCATTGTGAAGCAAATCCAACATCTCATTCCCTTTGCCTGAACTAATGGGGCAAAATGAAAATTTTCAAATTTTTATATGTGCAAGCTTGTTGACCATGATCATCTACTTTAACTCTAAAGTCATTGTCCACCTAATTAATGTCTGGAGATAAAAGAAAGAGGGACCAATTCAGCGGCAGGCATGACTTGCATGAAATTAGAATATCATGTTTGGTTTATAGAATAGATAGAAATAAAAAAAAATAGTTATTTTTTGAAAATTGGTTAAGATAAAAATAAAATAAAATAATTATTATGTAATTTGGTACAACGAATGAAATAGTGTAAGAATAATTATTATGACTTATTACAGTGTTTTATTGTTAAAAATAACTTTGAAAAAAAAATAAAAGATAAAAAGATAAAAATATATTTTATTTTTTATGTATAATTATTTATTGTTATTTTATTTTTAAATATTAATAATTTATAATTTGTTTAAAATATTAATAATTGATACTTTAAATATTGTTATGATTATTTTTTATTTTATTTTTTAAATATTAGTAATTTATAATTTATTTTAAATATTAATAATTGATAATTAAAATAATATTATTTTATTTATAATTTAATGATTAACATTAGAAAATATTAATGTTTTATTATAATTTAAATGTTATTATATTTATTTATTTTTATTTTATTTTATAAATATTTATAATTATTTAAAATATTAATAATTGATAGTAATATTAATATTTTATGTATAATTTAATCATTAATATTTTATTTATAAGTTAAATATTATATGATTATTAATTTTTAAATATTACTATTTATAATTTATTTAAAATATTAAAAATTGATAATTAAAATATTAATATTTTTTATAATTTAATCATTAATATTTGAAGATTGTAAATTTTTAAATTTATAAGTGCTAATTTAGTTATAATAACTTTTAAAGCTATTCCATTAGACATGAAATAGCTATTACCGTGGAAGGAAGTGAGCGTAGTTAAAGAAATTTTTTTTTATTCATTTTGTAGAATAGTTAAAACAAAAGAATTGCTATGCATCGCTAAATTACCAACCAAAGAAAAACTAAATAAATAGTAGCTAAGAATAGAGGGGAATAGTCTATTCCCCATAACCAACGTGCCCGACAGGTTTAAAAAGTGAGAAATTCGTAGTTGTACTTCAATGGGGGAGTGAGAGTAACAAGTCCATGACTCTTATCTGATATCTGCACACTGGGTCATCAAAAAATCTATCAGTTAACTTTTCATGTTACAACGGACACACCGAGACGGTAGACTTAAATAGAGCACTTTTAAGTGTTTCTGATCAGGTCTACGACTTCGTGGTTCTTCCGCAATTATGGAAACTAGTGAAGCTACTCATCACTCTTAGCCCAAAAGGGCAAAAACCATGAGAAACAGCCCAATACGACTGCGTAAAAGTATCTAGCTCTCAGCTACTTGCTAGTAAGTAGTTTCCTTATAATCGGACAACATTAAATCCATGAATTTGTTCAAACCACCAAAAGGGCATCTTCATAAAGAATCTATGTTAGTGTTTCAAATGTGAGATTCATAATAATTTCCCACAATTGATTGTTAAAAATTAAAATCACATGAGAGTATTGAATGGAAGTTCATATTATGAAGATTATATCAAGCTATGTTTGGAAATGAATTTGGGAAGTGAATTTGAATTTGGTTGTACAAGAAAGGAAGGATGAAATGCACATAATATATAAAATTTGGTTAAAATTTAATATACCTATGTATTTGAAAAGGGATAGAAAGATGAATTAAAACTTCACAAGTTCATATAAGTATTTCAAATTCACCGCTAAATAGAGATGTCTAACAATTTCATGAATTCGAAAGTAATCATAGAAATCATATTTGCATGTACAATTTACACTAAATATAGAATCTAATTAAATCCATTTTTTTCAGATTCAAGTTTAAAAATGCAACCTTAATTAAAGAACCAAAATCTTGCAAATCACAAGTATATAATTGATTTATTTTAGTTTCTAAGATGTAATTGATTTATTGAGTACTGACAATGTGTAACAACATATCATAGATTATGAAATGCAAGTTGGTGAATATATGATGCAAACCTCCTCAAGTTATGCAAACTTATATGTATGAAAGGGAAAATTATATTCAAATCGTAAATTCCAACTAACATTAGTACTTGTCTTTTAAACGTGTCCTTGCTCTCTCGCGTACTTATCAAAGATATATAGCTATATCCTTGTCATTTAGTTTGATTCATTTTATTTAATTGAGCGATGTATAATCTAATAATCTTGCTTTGGTTCCACATATATAATTTCATTCAACATTCATCTTGGATCCTTGCACTCGTTTTCCCTGTGGAAATAATCACCAAATATTATATCTCATCGTCCTTCTTGCCAAATGTATTTACTAGAATTTTACACGCAATACTATTAGTAAGTCGAAGTATTTAATTCCACCAGTAATTGGCATTTGCTGGCGGCAGGACATGTTGCGCACATCGAAATGTCACCATCACAATCGCAATCCAAGCCGATTTTCTTTTTCTTTACAATTTGCATCCGTCATCCATTACTATGATCTTTGTAATATGCCAAGAATAAAGAAATCCAAAAATCTTTTAGAGAGTGGAGTCCATATTTATTTAGATTACCAGATGCTCTCCTGAAAGAAATTTGGATGACAAGTTTCCATAATTCTAAGATGGCAAGCGGCTTATTCTCTTTCAGTACTCCATTAGACTTCAATGGAATCCAAGGAAGTTACAATCTTCAGGATTATGAGAAAGAGGCAGCTGTTATAAAAGGCAAAGAGGACCATTTGTTTGGAGTCCAGGAAATTGGAGAGGAAAGAGACTATGATCCTCTTTTTCCTGAATATGGCCTTTACGATCAAGAGAATGTAGCAAAGAAACCTGTAGATCAAGGAGAACAACAGCAACAGCTGGGACAAGCAACCAAGTTAGATTATTTGGTTGAATTCGATTTCAGCTCTGCTTTCTCAACAAATCTGGCATTCCAAGAGTTTCCAAGGCAAGAAAATATCCAAGAACTAGTCAAACCCATCAAGGAGATACCGTCGTCATTTTACTTGTCATCTCTGGAACTCCTTAGTAATTGTGGAAACAGTTTCAAAAAATTGAAAATGGGCAAATCCAGCGGCACTGGCAATGAAACTAATGCACTTGGCCACAACAAACTTTCAACAGAGGAGATCATGAGGGTAGCTGGAGCAAGATATGTTCAATTTTCTGACCAGAGGTACGATGATTTTTCCATGGTTATGCATCCATTTGGTCACGCTCTCTCCGGTTTGTCGGCTGACGAGACAAAAGATGTGGAGCTTGTGCATTTACTCCTGGCAGCGGCAGAGAAAGTAGGATATGAACAATTTGAACGTGCTAGCAGATTGGTTTCTCGTTGTGAATGGATTGCGTCTGAGAGAGCCAATCCTGTTCAGAGAGTCGTCTACAATTTTGCTGAAGCTCTTCGAGAGAGGATTGATAAAGGAACGGGAAGGATCATATCAAAGGAGTTGGAATCAAAAGTGAAGAATGAAATTGATCACGGGTTGAGTACTAACGTTACATCAGTCTCAGTTCACCAGTACATTCCATTTGTCCAAGTAATGCAATTCACAGGTATACAAGCCATTATAGAAAACGTTGCATCTGCAAGTAAGATCCATGTAATCGATCTTCAAATCAGGAGCGGAGTTCAATGGACGGGCTTGATGCAAGCTCTGGCAGAGCGTGAACAGTGCCGGGTTGAGCTCCTCAAGATAACTGCCGTAGAACTAGTAGGGAATCAGAAGATAGAGGAGTCTGGAAAGAGGCTGGAAAGTGTTGCTGCATCCTTAAACTTACCGTTTTCATTTCGTGTAACTTATGTTGACGACATGAAAGATATCAAGGAAGAATTATTCAATATCGGGAGCGATGAATCTTTGGCCGTTTACTGTCCATTGGTGCTGAGAACATTGGTCTCGAGGCCCAGTTGCCTGGAAAATTTAATGCGAGTGATGAAAAATCTAAACCCTGCTATAATGGTGGTCATTGAAGTCGAAGCGAACCACAATTCTCCCTCGTTCGTAAGTCGGTTCATTGAAGCACTGTTCTTTTACAGTGCCTTTTTTGAATGCATTGACACTTGCCTGGCGCACGATGTTGAGTTAAGAACGAAGACTGAATCTGTGTTTTGCAACGGGATCCGAAGCATTGTAGCAATGGAGGGCAACGAGAGGATTGCTAGAAGTGTGAAGATGGAGGTGTGGTCGGCATTCTTCGCAAGGTTTAGCATGGTGGAATTGGGGTTCAGTGACTCGTCCTTATACCAAGCTAATTTGGTAATCAAACGGTTTCCTTGTGCTAGTTCTTGCACACTGGCTAGGACTGGGAAAAGTTTGATTGTTGGATGGAAGGGAACTCCAGTTCATTCTGTTTCAGCCTGGAAGTTTTCCAGAGATAGAGGGAGGGTATTTGCAAAATATAGGTTCTGAATCTGAAATTATTAGTACTAGTTTTTAAGTTGTATTCGCTTCCTTGAGTTGAAGGTTAACAAGTCATAAAAATCCAGGTTTTTATAGAAAGCGCTAGCTAGAACACCATTTTCCATTTCTTCTTCTGGGGAGGTTAAAAGTTATTATAGGCACATACCATCCACAAACATCCCAGTGTAATCTATATGTAACAAAGAGTGAGGATATCAAATCCATATCCTTCGTTCTCTCATAGGAATTTAGAATCTATTTTATATGCCGTGCAAGAGAAGTTCATTTCTTGTGTAAACAAGAGATGGTAGGATAACAATGTTGATATACATTTATATATAAAATTTCCAACTTGCTACTCTAGTTGTGTGTCAAGCTGTAATTTCCTTAGTAATTGCTCTTCTGTTGTTTATCGGTGTCATAGAACTAGGTACAATCGTCAAGGTGTAATTAATGGGGAATGAGGCGTAATTTCTTCCGCAAAGGCTCTAAACTTTGAAGCCTATAAGCGTTTAGTGTTTAGATTTTTTGGTACATTTAGAATTTCTTTAGAAAAACAATAAGGCAAAACCCAAGAAATTCGTCTTTTAAGTCATGAAGAATATTTTCGTACAAGTTATTATGCCGTTAAGATACAACAAAAGTTCAAAACTCTTAAATCAATAATAAAAATCATTCCTTAGAAAAATTTTATCAAATTTATTACTTTCTCAAAAATTTTTTGAAGGAAAAACCAAAATTCGCAAGAAAAATACTTCGGCTTATACATTGATGGACCCCATTCGTAAAGTTAATGTTATAAAATAAATAATAGTAGAATTTATTTTTAAACAAGTTGTTATACTTCTCCAATAATCAAGTTAGTGTTACACAGTCAAGAAAAACTGTTCAGAAAAATAAGATAAAAAATACTCATCAAAATTATAACATTTTGTTTAATTTAAACTTAAACATTTTCAATAAGATGTATGAGAATAATTATTTTTAAAATATTATATATATATATATATCAACACAGCATTTTTCTGTAGAAAAAGTCAAAAACTTGAGAGGCAAACCATAACTTAGGCCTTCCTTTAAAGCCCATTAACCACTGGAGAAGCCTTGAAACTTAAAAGTTAACAGTCATCGCGACACAAAACGGACCATAAGAAGGCCGTTCAAATTCCTCGAGCCCATGTTTAAGGTATGAAAAAAGAAAAGGCAAAAAGTGGGTAGAGACTCGGGCCAGAGCCCCGTGTGGAAAATGAACGGAGGACAGAGAGGCCGATTCCCACATTGGTGGCCACGTCACTGACAGTTCACACGTGTCAATTCTCGGCTGGGCTTCTTTTACTTCAGATTCTTCACTCTGTCCCCAAGGAGTCGCAGAGCAGCACCAATTTAGCCAACCATGGTCTCCAAGGCGACCGACTCTTCCTCTAAATCCAGAGTTAGAAATTCTTTCCCTACCTTTCGATCTTCAGTTCCTTTTTGCTTTGGTTCTTTTTCATTCTTCATTCATTCAATAGTTAATTCTTTATCATCAGAAATTGGATACTGGTTGAATGATTTACTGCCTCATTTAACACGGAAGAATAATTAATTTTGAGTCATTTTACTATTTTGCCTAATTTTCTTATTTTGGTCGTTAGATTATAATCGATAACATAGACTTGAAAATTCATGGAATATGATTCGTGAAAAAGTCAGTTGGTTTTTGCGGGAGCAGAGCTTTTTCCTAATTCCATCACTATTCACTTAACTTATGCTCCGTTTGGCTGCTATCAATTATGCATCAACAAAATAGAGAAAAGAAAGAATATTTCGGAATTGAGGTTGATCAATCATCACCAACAAGTTATTGTAGAAGTTTTTTGATGTGGCAGAAATCGCATGGAGAAAACTCTGGTGGCGGCGCAGGAAACTTGACACATAAGTTAAATCAGCTCAAAAGGCAAATTCAAGCAGAGAGAAATGCTTCAATAAAGGTAGATTAGCTATGCCTTGGTTATATTAGTCAGTTAATATTTTACCTATTATACTCGATATTATTTTTTTAAATTAATGCCACTTTATTTATTGGCCTTGAATTTCACTAGCATGATCATTTTTACTTAAAAAAAAAAGGAAAATGAAATCTAAATTTTTTTTTTCTTCAATTAATGGCATGTGGATTAGATAAATAACTAGGACTCTGTTGTGTTCTACTTTTCTAAATTGAAGTTATTTGTGCTCAATTTACTAGGCAAGATGCGAATAAATCATATTTATTGTGCATAGGAAAAAGTTGAGAAGAACAGAAAGAAGCTGGAGAGTCATATTTCGGAGATTTTGTCAGCTACATCATGTAGAAATGTAATATGTGTGGAGGAGAATGGATTTGGTAAAATGCTCTCTTCAAGAATTGAAATTCCACTTTGTAAGTATGCTGGATTTGCTCAAGGCTCAGGAGATAGAGACTATGCTACTGGACATGAAGTTCAATCTTCAACAAATGCAAAGCTTCCGTATATTGAGAAGTTGCCGCCTTATACAACCTGGATATTTTTGGACAAGTATGTTGGATTACTATAGCTGTTGGCTTAAGTACGAGTATTCTATTCTGTTTATTTCTATTAGCAATACTTTGGCTTTAAATTGGTTGGTTATATATTTGGTCAAAGCATGAAATAAAATTCTCTTTGTAAGGACAATATTTTGCAGAAATTTTGTTTAAAGACTTAATAACACACTGGAGACAACTTGATCCGAAAAGTCATTTAGTCATGAGCTAACTATGCTTCTTATGTCATCTCTCATTGAGGATTATATCTGGGGAGATTTCATGGAAGGGCTTCATAGCATGCTGAACACTCCTTTATCTGAAAAGCTAGCAGCTATTTAAGCCTCTCAAGTTTTTTTTAACTGTTTTTTAATTCAAAGTTGCACATGAATCTACCACCTTTTTCTCCCCAACTTGTTTTGTATGAGTTTTGTTTTTGCTCGTCTTATCTTAAATATACACCATTCAGCACAGAAATCAGAGAATGGCTGAAGATCAATCTGTTGTGGGGAGGAGACGTATATACTATGACCAACATGGCAGTGAAGCCTTAATCTGTAGTGACAGTGAGGAAGATGTTGCAGAGCCTGAGGAAGAAAAACATGAATTTTCTGAGTGTGAAGATCGTATTTTATGGTAAGTAAAATAAGATGCAACCTCTATAAAAAAGGAGGATTATTATTCATCTGTTAAGAAAAACATAGTATATGTACTTTCCTCCGGAGGAAAGAAAGTTGGCAGCACACAGTTGCACTTCTTCTGCCTTCTTATCGGTATACTAGTTACAAGAGAACACCAGCTAGAGAAATGCAAGTGGTAGAGATTGATATAATGCTTCAACGTATAAGTGATGTCAGACTTGTCTCTGTTTTAGTGGGTAAGAAGATGAGGTGACACTGATGAAACACCGAGACAGCAATAGTGTGCTTGGTTAAAAGGCTGCTGTGTTTGTGTTCAAACTGTGTTTGACTCTTTCTTTGACTGGCATTTATTCCATATGGAGCTCAAATTCTATGTTTAACTAACAGCTCCTAGGATTTACAGAACAAACTATCACCGTAGAGGATGTTTATTTTGATTTACCTCCAACTTTATGAAAAAAACCATTCAATCATTTTGGATTAATTTGGCAGGACTGTCTCTCAGGAATTTGGACTAGGTGAGGAAATACTGCAGGCTGTCAGCCAGTTTATTGGAGTCGGCATTTCTGACATCAAGGTATCCTGCATTATTAGCATGTCAACATTGTTGTCTTATTTTGGATAATGTTTGGTTTCTTTATTCCTTACTTTAAAAGTTTTTATCTACATAACTTTTTAGTTAATATTTGTTAGAAACTTTGTTATTTGAAATTTGCAGGAACGGCATGGCATCCTCACTGAGAAATACAGTGACCAAAATTCAAAAGATTCTGAGGACTCTGGATCTGAGAAGGGTATATCTTTGGAGAAGAGCCTCAGTGCTGCTTTAGATTCTTTTGATAATCTATTTTGCCGCCGTTGCTTGGTACTTTGTCTTTAATCACTCATTATTAATGACATCTGTTAAAGAGAAGCGTTGTCATGTTGATATCACATGTGGTTCTTTGAATTTCTTTAACTCCAGTGCTCATCTACTTTGTATCTATCTTACAGTTATTTGACTGTCGTCTTCATGGCTGTTCTCAAACTTTAATAAATCCTGTAAGCTATGTGCTTCTTATCTTTCAATTTAATGTGAGTTTGTTTCATTAGTTTATCTGATTGGAACTAGTGCTTGACAGAGTGAAAAGCAGCCATATTGGTCTGAATATGAAGATGACAGGAAACCTTGCAGCGATCAGTGTTACCTCCGGGTCTGGTTCTCATTATTCTTTTCTCTAGTTACTTAATAATGTTATTGGTCTCTCCTTTGTATCACTATGTTGATGAAAAACTTTTTGCTCAATTGGTATCTCATGTGTTTCAAGAAAAATCTTTCTCTAGGATCTAGCTGTCTGGTATGATCTTATAGTTGGTACTGCTAAAAATATTGCAACTGTAGGTTAATGAAAGTGGTGATGATTCTTTTATGGACTAAATATCTGCCATGTTATCCAATTATTTGCATTCTTTTTGGTTCTCTGGTGCTGTTCCTTTACTCAAAATCTCGGTTTGTCTGTTTGTCTACATACTTCACTAATATGCCTCCTGTATATGATCCCTGTATAGGCCAACTTTCTATGTTCTAATTTGTTTTTACTTATTAAAGAAGAAGAAGATTGTTTTGGTGCTTATGTGCATGTGTGTTTTCTGAGATGCATTTGATTTGGATGTGAATTTGCACTCATTTGTATCCCTGGAGTGACTGTTAGTTTATTTTTTTAGTATTTGGTTATCATTTTGATTAAATGCCATATTGAATTTTTTTTTTGGATTTGAGACAATTCTTTTGTGGGAAAAGAGACAAGTCTTGTGTTTCAACACCAATTCTTTGCAGTTAAGAGCTGTCAAAGATGTTCCAGAAGGTTTAGGTGGCAATGCATTGGATGGAGCGAAGACTACAACTTTAGAAGAGAAAGACGAGGCTGAATCCTCTGATGCCAAAGAGCCAAAAACTGATGTTGGTGCAGATCTCATGCAAGATGAAAGAGGCATCCCTGAAGAAGTGAAGTCTGTTGCTTTAGAATGTATTCATGACTCAGAAGGTGCTGCTGAAGCTCAAAATTTGGAGATATCTTCCATACCAATAGATAACCATGAAATTTCTGGAAAGCGAAAGGCCTCCCAAGAAGGAAATACACCATCAGATGACTCTATACACTGTTCTGATTCTGTAAGTAAGAAACAAAAGACTGTATTGGCTGTGTATGTAGCTACAAAGTCATCTGAAGCTATACCAAGTCAGGATGACACATCCAGTTCTAAAAGTAGGAACCATCATGTTGTTGCACTTAATGAAAAGGAAGCTCAAATTACAGCCAAAAACACCCAAAATGAATCTGGTGAATGCGCATTAGAAACGTTTGCCTGTCCTGCTACTGTATCCAGTGATAAAACTGTGGATGACATACAAGATGGAGCCAAAGATGTTACAGAGGTGCCCGAATTGAAGTGGTCATCTTCTGAGTGGAAACCTATTGAGAGAGAACTGTATCTGAAGGGAGTAGAGATATTTGGGAGAAACAGGTAGAAAGGGATTACAACTATTTTCAGTCTTTTCTTGGCATAAAATGCAAATGGATGCTGATAGCATTAAATCTAAATCTTCGTGTCTATATCTTTGGCATTGGTTTCTGCAGTCCTAACTTTCAAATGGACTAATCTGCAAAAGATTCCTTGGAAGAACTAAAATTTGCTGAGCAAATGAAATCATAATGAAAGTTGTGTAACATGCTTGTGTTTTTGTACTCCACACCTTCTTTTGCTTTCTGATCATGATGGACTTGTTACATTTAGACAGTTTCAATTCTAGACATTGTCTTCCCCCTTCTTGATGACAATGATCATATGCCCATTATCATGTTTCTATTAATGCATGATCTCATTCTTTGCAGTTGCCTTATAGCCAGGAACTTGCTTTCTGGTTTGAAGACTTGCATAGAGGTATCGAGTTACATGTGTGATAGTGGAGCTTCAACACTTCATAGAACCATCATGACAAGTTCATTTTTGGAAGAAAATGGGAAATCCGAATCAGATTATATGGTATGTACCAGAGCCCTATCTATTTCCTAGTATATACCTTTTGATAAAGTGGTAAAGAAAGGTTTCCAACCTGCATGATTATTTTGAGGCCATATCAGTCTTTGCAAGCTACAATTGTGAGCATTTCCTTTAACACTTCATTCTCTGTTTTAATGCTTACCAATAAAAATCATTACTAAATTATCCCCTGAAACTTTTAATTACAGAGGGTTGAGAATCCATATGTACAGAGTGGGAGTTAGAATATGCAATTGCAGTGATTTTCTCATTAAGGTTTGGCCATTTAGTTAAAACAATTTCATGAGAAGAAATCCATCCTCAAAGTTGTTGAACCTAGTCAAGCTTATATGGATAGAACCATGCTGACTTAATTGCTGCGGTTTGGTTTTCAACTTAATTTTGGAACTTCATTATTAATTGATCTCTATTGCCTCATTATAGTGGGCATTGTATTTTTTAGGGTCCACAGTTGGCTTTGCATTGTAGACCTTTCTTTCTCCGCTTTACACTGCATTATAAATATTTTTCCCCTCCTATTATTCTTTCTGCACTTTAGGAGCAAGAAATTTCGACAAGACCACGATTGCTTCGTAGAAGGGGTAGAACACGGAAGCTTAAATATTCTTGGAAATCTGCTGGCCATCCATCAATTTGGAAAAGAATCGCAGATGGAAAAAATCAGTCTTGCAAGCAATATACTCCATGTGGATGCCAATCAATGTGTGGAAAGCAGTGCCCTTGTCTGCACAATGGAACTTGCTGCGAAAAGTATTGTGGGTAAGTTAAATTAATTTAACTTGCGAATATGAAACATATATATGGTGCAGGACAGCCTTGTTATGCAATTTTAGAAGTGATGTAAGCTTAAATTTTCTGTAATCCTACATCTCTGTGAATCTGAAGTATTTGTATCTGACCAATTGCTTTTGGAATGGATAAGCTGAGTTGTTTATTATTTTTTTTATTTGAACTAAAAATATCTGGAGCTGCATCCAGATGCTCAAAGAGTTGCAAAAACCGGTTTAGGGGATGCCACTGTGCAAAGAGCCAATGCAGAAGCCGGCAGTGCCCATGTTTTGCTGCTGGACGTGAATGTGACCCAGATGTTTGCCGGAATTGTTGGGTTAGGTAAAGTTCTGTATTCTCTGCAATTTTATAGTATATCATGTCAGCATGGAGTTGTAGGAGAAATACCCTGGTTTAGAGCATTGGAATAGCTTTTCGACATTAGGTTTGGTTGTCAAGGTTGGTTTGCTGAAAAAGATCTTTTTTGGTTCTCTTCTGATCCCATTGATCTTTTCTGGTTTTCCTTTTATGTATTGTCTAGGTTTGACATCACACTGATTGGACAAAAACTTTTAGTTTATTTATCTCCAGCATTTGCATTAAATACTTGTACCTTTTGCAGTTGCGGTGGGGGTTCGTTGGGTGAGCCACCAAAACGAGGAGATGGTCAGTGTGGAAACATGAGGCTGCTACTAAGGCAACAGCAGAGAGTGAGCAAATTAGAATGTTTTAGTTGTAGAATTATAGTTTTGAGATGGTTTTAAAGTACTATTTTTCTTTTTGCTCTACTTCTAATCTTTCATATTTCTATTCTTCAGATCCTCTTGGCAAAATCTGATGTTGCTGGGTGGGGAGCCTTTCTCAAAGTAGGATAGTATTTTCTTTGCCTAATGGAAAATCTTACAATAGTTAAATTATCTGGTGTTTTCTTTTGTTGCTTTCTAACTCTTTTCTGTGAACTCAATGATGTGGTTCAGAATTCTGTCAACAAAAATGATTATCTTGGAGAATATACTGGTGAATTGATCTCCCACCGAGAAGCAGACAAACGTGGGAAAATTTATGATCGTGCAAATTCATCATTCCTTTTTGACTTGAATGATCAGGCAAGTGACATTTAAAACCCCACGTTTGACCTGAAATTTCCTTATGTTAACAGAAACATCTCTTTTTTGTATCCAAGAATGCTGCAATGTTTCTAATAATGGCAGTACCAAGTTCACAATAATTTCAGTTCTTCAATGTCTGGTTCAGAGTATATATATGTTACCACTATCTTCGTGATTTAGAGTGGCATATAGAATCTGATAGAAGCTGCTATTTTGTATTTGCAGTATGTCCTTGATGCTTATCGCAAAGGAGACAAATTGAAATTCGCAAACCACTCTTCTAACCCAAATTGCTATGCCAAGGTATACAACTCTGCAATTCTTTGGAGGATATTTTTATTGGTTTAGCTAATACATTAGCTTGCACAGGTAATGTTGGTAGCTGGGGATCATCGAGTAGGCATTTTTGCCAAGGAGCGCATTGAAGCTAGTGAGGAGCTCTTCTATGATTATCGTTATGGCCCAGATCAAGCGCCTGCATGGGCTAGGAAACCTGAGGGTTCCAAGAGAGATGACATGTCAGTCTCTCAAGGTAGAGCAAAGAAACACCAGTCTCATTGATGCACTTTTGACTGGTTTAGCATGTGCATCTGGTCTCTATTATCTTCAGTTTTTTTCCCATCTTCATATCTTCATAAGCAAGCATATATGAAATTGTCATTTTGTGTTTATAGTTGCATAAGTGTTGTCCTAAAGATGTTAGGGTCAAGAAATTGGATGGAATAAGTTTTTAAGCATTTATTATGCCAACAAAGCTAGGTATCTAACAATAAAAGTATAGGAATTGTTGGGAGAAAGCGTGTATCTTAAAGAAATAATGGGAAGTTTCTCTTTCTTAATAGCTATTTACATTTTCCGTGTGCATTTAGTTTTTCATTTTTCATGCTTTTTGGCCTGACGTTGACAGTTGAAACCTGTTTGAATAATGACATGATGGATCAAGTTGCAGTGCTATGATTGTTTTTGTAGCAACGCATTCACAGTAGTGATAGTCATTGTGAAATCAGAACGTGAAATGAATGCTTGACAGCGTTCCTTCTCCGTCATGGCTCTTCATTCCCAGAAAATTGCGACGACTCATTAATTTTCCTAGCTCGCCTGTTTAAGATGTTTAGTAATATAGTCTTTATTACCTCTAATTGCCGACAAGTCTCCAATTACGGTAAGATCAAAAGTCATGAGGCTGGCATGCCTACCTCTCTGGGCAAAAAAACATATCATCAGGATATTATCAGCTCGATGCTTTAATTATTCATACACTTGTAATAAGATTTGTGGGGAATTTCGTCGTTTCTTTTGTATATAGAGGCTAATTTTTGTCGTGGTCTCTTACATCTTATACGGAACCCGCTTCCGCTTCATTGGGATTTTTATTTGTTATTGCATTGCCGACAAATAAACTACCAAACATCACTACAGAGGAGGGAGTTATTTTCGATGAGAATTGTGAATTTTGACTTGGAAAAGAAGAACCACATCCAAAATTTCTCAATTGAATTTCCAAGACATGGCCCAAAAATGTTTTAACTACAATTGTTGCATGCTATCTAACAAGATCACAAGCTGAAAGAATTGAAACAATATACATGCTGAATATCACAATTGAAATCTGGAGTGAGACTTGAACTTTTGTTTGGATTGCAAATGGAAATGCAAAATTTCATTCCATGTATCTGGAACACCAGGAAGACACCAATGGCTGCAATCTTGAATGTTGGACGAGTAACGATTCCCTGGATTTTTCCCGTATTTTGATGGATGACCATCTATCCTATATGCAGATAAACCAGTCACATTCAGTAATGTTACAGGAGTTTTCATCTGCAAAATTACCTCCTCCACAATTTTGTTCTTCTCAGGGTAGCTCATGCCCAAGGTGTCATTGAGGGGCCAAGCAGCTTCCGTACAGTGACCACCTGAATTCCACTGTCCTCCCCTGTACAATGATAAGAGCCTACTCAGAAATTGATATATATAGATGTTATATAGGAGAGAAGTTCACAGCAGCATAAACAACAGCAAACCTGAAATGGGAAGGTGCGGAATTTCTAAAGAAAACTTGTGTTTTGCCTGGATTAATGTGTCTATCAACCCATGATGCCCAGGTCATCAAAGCTCTTCTAAAAGCTGTGGACACATCAAGTCGTGGATGTACTTGGTTCCCTTCCTGATAGTAGTTGATCCTAAAATATGGAAATTGGCAGTAGACATAACTCATTACAAAAGCATATAAAAGGTCTATCTAACATGGGTTTACAATCTGTGAAGTGTATATAACAATGTCTCTTCAAGTGACAGCTTAACATGCTTTCCAAATACAAAAGCAATCTTGATCGAATTTTCCAGCTTACAGTCAATGCAGGATTGAAACCTTAGACGGAAGATCAAATTTAACAACTTTAGAGTGCACTGGCTAAAGGTTTTCATAAAGATTCATGTAGTTTGACAATGGCACTAACCCTGCCTTTGTTTTGTAATGAGACCACCAATGTGCAGTGTTGAAGACCAAAATATCTGCCCCTCTCCATCTTGATGAACCATGATCGATGGCATCAATTCGCAAAGTGGGTTTCCGCTTTTGTCCGATCCTTGCCTTGCTCTCGTGAACTAAAAAGTGAGAAACATAGTATTCGACTGTACATTTATACTCCTGCAAAACTAACCTCATAATATCAAATACCCCAAATAGTCAAAATTGCATTACAAGTGAAATAAAGAGCAAATGAACTTTAAACAATCAATTGATTACCACGAATTTGAAACTATAATTCCCCTTCCCTTTGGTGATTCTTCGCCCATGAGTCTCATAGACCTTCTTTGGATCTCTTACAGCTTTCATTAACATACAAAGCATGGATTCCCATTGGTTTCTATTGATTGAATCTCCCACAAAGACCAGTCTTTTCCCTCGGATCAAACCCAGCATCTTTTCTGCATTGAACCTAAAACAGATAGCCCCACAACATAAACCAGTCTTTACCACAACAATTGCAAGAATGTGTGTATCCAAAGCGAAAGTACACAGCAAATCAAAATTACCTAGGAAAATCACAATCTTGTGGTTGCCATCTCCACTTCATGTAATGCCTATCACGCCTTCCATTGCTATCGCAGTTAAAACCTTCATCAATGAAAGGGCACGATCCATTTGTGTACAGAGGATAGCGCTCATCATAAACCCACTTGCCTCTTGTTATATCACAGCTATTTATCTTCTTCTCCTCAATTTTCCCATTACTTGGAACTTCATTTTTATCAACTGAAGTTACTCTTGTCTTCTTCTCTTCTTTGTTTTCAATATTGCTTGGAAGCTCAAGTTTGTCAACTGAATTTGCTCTAATCTCATCCTTTTCAGTTAATTCACTGCTTTCAACTTCAATATCTTCTATTGAAGGTCCAGGTGCACCGTCTTGATCAGTTTCAGGATCCTCAAGTTCACTGTCACCATCTTCCAGCACTTCACTCTCACTTTCTTGTCTCTGGATCTCCTTCAAACCTGAAAATTTATCAGACCCAGATGCATTTTCACGCTTAAAAAAAGGGGAATCTGTCACAGTTGAACGCTTAACGGTTCCTGCTGAATCGTTACTAATGGAACTACTCGAGCTCTCTACAGTTACGGGTTTAGGACCACCCAGATTAACGAATGATTTGTTGAACTGAAAATGGGTTGCCTGATGAACTGAAGGGTTGGATTTGACGACCCAGGTAAAAAAGATAACCAGGAAGATAAAAGAAGAAGATACTATGAACGAAAACACCAAGAATCTTGTGGATTTGAAGGAGAAACTTCTCTGTCTCTCCATCAAAGTAGTTCATCGGCAAATCGCTTCAAAATACCGCAAGAACAGTTCTTCAACGGGATTTGGTAGAGGGGAGGACTTATCCTTTTATGCATGTATTTGCGCGTTTGATGGAGCAAATTTTTCAAAAAGACGGTAGAACAATTGACCATAAGAGAAGGGTTTGAGGCTATTCCACTGCTAGGATCTAGGAGAGCGGGCTTCAAGTTGTGGGTGTTTAATTACCGAATGTTTTCCTTCTTAAAAAAAGAAAAGAGTCGAACAAAGCCAAAAGAACATGAAATATGAAAATGACTAAAATATACCCCACTCCTCGACACGACACGACTCACAACCATGTATTCGCTCGTGCCCGTGCTCAGTATCTTTGCTGGCGGCTCTGCAATTATACGTAGAATGTAGCATTTCAAGTTGTCATGAGCTTTGTCACAGGCCAAAATAAACCGAAAGATGTCGTTCTCCACCCTAAATTGGGAATCGAGATTTTAACAAAGTGATTTACCCAAGCAAATTCGTTTGACAAAACTGGTCAACAGGCTGAAACATCCATCTGTTTTCGACTTTTCCCACCTGCTTAAGGTTACTATTCTGGTTGCCTTTGCTTCGGTCTCAAGGGATGTCAGTTTCTGTCCTTTTCTCTTTTCCCCCTTCTACTCCGACTAAGTTATGGCTGTGGAGCATTCAGAAAGGGTTGCTGGAGCCTTGACCGTTGTCAAAACTCAAAAGGTCGGGGATGGCTCGGTAAATGTGTTCTTCCAGAATAAACTGGAAACAGAGTATGCTTCTATTAGGAGTAACTAACTAGTGGTAGTACTGAAAAGAAAAAGGAAGAACAAGAGAAATGCTGGCGTCATGGATTGTTTTAATTATACGTGAAGGAAAGGACTCGTGATCTTTTACGCGAGCTAAGGGATAAGATCAAACAAAACCAGATAAATGTAACTTCTGATTTCCAGGACAAATTGGAATCCAAGTTGATTGTATGCTTTATCATTAACGTAGGGCAGTCAGTGGGTATGTTGTGACTTAAATTTGCTTTAATTATTTAATTAATTATTTTGGATTTTCCTCAAAAAATTAAACACACCCCTCTCGATATGAGGATATCGTACTAATCAATAATTTAAGGGAAAAAAAAATACCATTTGCATAAATAATCAACTGGAAAGAAAGACCAATTTTCATTCAAAAAAACTAACAAGGGGTTTTCATTTTGTGATATAATACAAAGTTAAAAACCCGTAACCAACAATTTTTTGCAGCATGAAAATTTGATTAAATATATCCTGTAAAACTGCAAGTTCATGTACCAATTCGCTTGTTCATTTTCAAGTTTAAAAGACAGCCTCAACAAGGGCATGTGTCTTCTTGGGGTACCCCATGCCAACCATATGGTTGAGATAAACCTTGCCATCTTTCACAGTCGCCGCAGTGGCCAAACGATGCGCAGGGCCCTTAAACTTTGCCACAACAGAAGCCGTCTCCCATCCATCAGAGCTCTCCACCAATCTCCCAGAAGGGTTCCCGGCTACAACAAGCTTAGTTGGAGAAATTAGCTCCAGACCATCACCAAATGTTAGTGGACCTCCAGCAACCTCAATCAACTTCACTTCCTCTCCCTTGGTTAGATCAACCTTAAGCAAATTGCCACTGAAAGTGTGAATTACTATCAAGTAGCCATCTGGGTGGTAAACGATTCCGTTCAATGCAACCACGCTTTTGTACCACTCTTTTGGAGAGAAGAGTGGGCTTCTTAGGATAGACAATAACTCACCACTGACACCAACTTTCCAAATTTTACTAGCTTTGGCATCGGTTACATATGCATTACCTTCAGCATCTACCGCAACATCATCCGCAAAGGATTTCTCATCACCTAAGGACCAAGTAACTATTGTCAGAAAAACATTTATCGTTTATTAATTGCATAAAGAAATAATGGTTTAGC